GAGGGGCGGGCCCCCTTTTGTGGCGCCCCCCCAGCCGGCCGGCAGCCACCCCCCGCGCACCGGCCCCGTCTGCAGGGTGTCACGCTCCTGTTCAGAAACGCGGTGAGATTAGGAAGCAGGCTGAAATTTGCAATCCACGTTTACAAAATCTGGTTTTATTTCTCCAGTGTCATCTGGCTCATTTTTAGGCTTTCCTTTTTCCTTGCTAAAAGAATGTCCACTTTTAGCTGTAATCAGTGGGCAGTTAGCCAAAGGATTGTTAATTCCTCCTGCTTCTCTCATTTAGGAATTATTCTAATTGTACTTTCCAGACACTGCAACAAGTTTGCAACCTGCTGGTGGTGGAAAGAACTTGTTTTGGCATAACATTGGGCACTAGGCATGTTGAGTGCAGACAACTGCGTGCTTTCCCCATGTTCCAGAGTGAAACAACCATCCGCACAAGTTTGAGAAATAAACAGTGAAGTCTGCTGTCATTCAGAATATCCATATTTTTCTCGTCAGAAATTTCAACTGCAAATCAAGTTGTCACACAAGCAGCAAAATTTAGAATACTTTTTTTATGTGAACATTTCCATTCTAGTTAAAATTAAACTGAAAAAGGTAAAAACCAGCCGTAGTTCAATTTTAAGGCTATGCAGGATCATGAGACTGTCTTGTGCTTTATACAGTAAATGTTATAAAATCTATACATTGAATAATTCTAAAATAATGCAAAGCAATAAAGAGAGTCTTATTCTCTTTTTAATTAATTTTATTCTGTTCTGTAGGTTCTTTCTTTAACGGACAGTCCTCTTGCTTTCTTCTGTGCTAATCTTAAGTCTATTTTAAGGCAACGAAGTTTAACAACGTTAACTAAATAAAGCAGTTGGACAGCATATGTTAACAAGTACTGTATTCCCCAGCCCTTCAGAACAGCTCAGCCTCAAATAACACTTACATATTGCCTATGTAGAGATTAGGCCACTCTTCACCCACGTGATTTAATTCCACTTTGCAGCTGTCCAAAATATCTGGCAGTTCCTGGGCAGAGGGAGTGCCAGGCTCGGAGCATTCCTGGCCTGATGGGGTCTGACCGTCTTCAGGCGCTGACCCCCTTGGTGGCCACACGTAGATTTAGGCAGGGGAGAGCCGGCTGGATGCCGCCGCTGCAGAATCCCCAAGGGAGTTTTTTTGTCGAAGCGTGCTCTTTGCTGCCGCTTGATGTTCCCAAGCAGGTGGCTGTCTCTAAATACAGCACGCGCCTCGACGCCTCCCCGGATTAGCTCAGCGCTACAGCCGTGATGGAACAGGGAACAGCCACACAAATGAGAGGTCTGCATTAAGCAAATCTTATGCAAAAAAACCCGCTACTCCCCTCCCCATGTAAGCTATATTGCTGTGCCTGCCAGCACAGAGCTTTCCCCGGGAAAGGAATGTCGGTCAACGCAACAGAGACAGAGTCCCAAATGCCTCATGTGGCCCAGTTCTAATAATAAGCTACCAGGAAAGAGGGGACAGCTCACATTAGGGGTGAGTTCAAAATAAAACCCACGAGAGCAGCTGTCCTGGCCCTCGCCAAAGGCCTCACCACTACCCTGCGTCTGACTGGGGCTGTAAGCGGATGCCTGCAGAAGGTAAGAACACACAAGCATGAACTATGCTGCTTTCTAACACTCTTCCAGCTTCAAGCTGGCTGCAGCTCGTGAGTTTCCAGAGCTAGATGGAGTTTCTAAGTATTTTTAACCCTGAATGGATTTCTGTTCCATAGTTTTCCAGTTACCCCCTCGAATGTTTACAGGCTTTCACCCTCTGCAGCACCCTGTGGCGAGGTGTTACACAGCTCACCTAAAACCCCTCCTCTTGTCTCAGACCTGGCTTCTACTGACTTCCTCTGATGCCCTCAGTTCTTGTACTGGAAAATAAAATTAAGGGAATGTCACATGGCTCCCTTCAGGTGACCCCATGGTTTTGTGATTGCTTTAAGCAGATTTAAGCCTGCCACGGCTGTAGCTGGGACAGTCCCCTTCAGTGTGCTCTCTGCTCGCAGGCACGCACTCGCAGCCTCTGCTGAGCTGGCACTAGCCCTCATGACCCACTTGGTAAGGTGGCTCAAAAGAACAAAAAATAGGTTTCCAGATCCTCTTCAGAGGAGATCTGACTCTTCTTTCTGGCACAGTCCTTTCCCACAGGAGGACCTTGTTCCTGAACCATATGCAGCCTGCTGTGGACTTTGTCAGATGCGTTCTTCAGCTAAACACTAAAAAAAAGTTGAAGAGGGATAAAGGAAATAAGAACGGATTGAGGAGAGACCCCATGATAAGGCCAGGCTGGGGCAGGAAGGCCTGTGCCCAGTTTGTTTCAGAGGCAATGGAAGGTGTTGGGCTCCTCATCAGGCTGAGGGTTCCTGCGGGCTCCTGGGCGGGTGCGCAGGCACCACTCCATGAGCTTAGGTGCTCCGGCCAGCTCAGCAGGTACCCAGCTTACCTTTAGGTACTTGAATATCTTTCAAATTGGGACCCTGCCTCAGTTAGGAATTAACATTCAGTGCCTTTAGTCTCCTGGGTTGTGTAGACCCTGCTGACAGATGTACATTTTCTGAACAAAGTGCCACTGGTGAGGGAGTATTTTTCTTTTCTTTTGGTTCCTTAGTCTAACAGGACCTGAACTATGGATAGTGTAAGTGACAGGCGAGAAGGTCTCTTTTCCTCCTTGCACATCACAGCAGGCAGTGCCTTCTGTTTTATGTAGTTACAGGACTAATTCTACCACTTTTGCTCATGCTGACTAGAATCTTTTTCCCTGAGCAGACCTGGAGCCAAAGTCAAGCTGTATATAAGGAAGGAGGCAAGACAGGCAGGCAGGAAATACAGGCAACACTAACTCCACAGATTAAAAACACTTCTGTGATTTGCCAGTGCCCTTGAAAAGAGTTTCTAACTAATTCATTCCCTCCACTGGGGTAAGTAACTCTTGCGGTACAAGATCACTACCATGTCATCGGTGGCACGGATGCCAGACTCAGCTTCGCTCTGTACTCTTCCCTACCCTGGTGAAACAATACTCTCCCAGGATGAGCAGTGTCTCTGAGAGCAGGTACTAATTTACAACAGGAGCAGCTTTTGCAGCTGTGGCTTTGTGGGACAGATGTTCAGGGGCATGCAAAGCATTATCCTGATGGGAGGTTCCATTAATCTTGCTCATATGTGTCTCATTTTGCCCAGCCTAAAGCCATTAAGATGCATTATTTCACTCACATGAATTTCAGATTTTTCAATGCCATGTCTTCAAAAGGTTTCCAGACTAAAATCTACTGTAATGTGAATGAAGTATAAATTATAATGAAATATTAACTCATATAAATCCCTATTAACTCTAATGGAGAACTTCAAAGCAAACCCAGCTCCTCCTTCACCACCCTGCTGCTTTGTGAGGCATGAAGATTGTCCCAGCACTGTTGGGTTTTAAATGTGATTTTCTATTTGATCTTTTTACACTACAATATCTCCTCTTTTCTCGTCAGTGGAGCTCTTTGGCAAGATTTAAGAAAATCTGACCAGACAGTCGCATAGACCTCTGAAAGGATCTTAAATATGCTCATTTTGCAAAGCATTTGTGTACACCAAAATAGGGAGGGATTTCTACATTCCCATAAGTGCTAGGCAGAATCGGCATTTATGTCATAACCTCTGCGAGAATTACGGAGGGTAGGAGGGTCTGGGAAGGAAGAGGTTCAACTCACAAGTCACTGCTATTTAAGTCTTCTAATAACCTTGCAAGTCTCTTCCAGCAAAGAAGAAAATGATCAGAACTGATGCTTCCAATGCAAACAAACAAGCAGAAATGTATTTAATTAATCTGGCAGGGAAGGTTTATAAGGTCAGCTAATCAATAAATCAAACCAGTAGCACAGGGCAAAAATAGATTTAGTTACCGCTTCACGGTTCACCACAAGGTAACAAGCTAATTTTCAGGCAGAGTGGTAGCGTGAATTTCAAATGCTGTTGCTGTATTAAAAATCACATTGGTTTAAGTACCAATTAACTGGTGATAGGAAAAGTGACATCCTCAAAACAGCTTAAAATTAATTTGTATCAATTAAGCCTAGCCATTGATGTAAGCTGAGTTCCTACCTGATGCTAAACTAGGGATGACGATTCAAAGCCACTTACACAGAACTGATTTGCGATAATTTGGAGGGGGAGTGAACTGATGAGTTCAAGCCTACAAAATGCTTTGAAGATCTGACATTTTTTTTAATGTCCTCAATATTCTACATAATATACATTATCTTGCTGAAAACATGTTTACACAAGAAAAGGTTTGTAGGTTTGCTGACCCGGAGACTGCAGAGTGAGCTGCACAGAAGTTTATTTTGCTCATGTGGGTCTTCAGGCTGTCGCAGCTTTCTGTAGCACTGCAACATTCAGCAGACCAGTGAAGGAGGAATGTTTCTGTAGCAGTGCCTGGGCTCTTAAGAAATTGCCCTCGCCACATCACCCGTCCTGAAACACAAAAAGCTTTTCTTATGAGAACATGCATGTGAGAACTGTGACCAAACCAAAGAAGCTGGTTATGTTACGCTCCCAAGTAAAGGGTACTTAAACGTGCTGTACAGCCAGATGCAATTACTGAACTTGCCTCTGGCATTTGCTCAAACCAGGAGAAAACTCAGCACGTCTCAACCACTCCAGTGGAGTCACCTGGTAGCGCCGCGCCAGGCACAGCAGCTCTGCAGCAGACAGTGCTTACAGTGCTGATGTTGGCTCTGCTGGTCTTGGAGGAACTGAGCTATCAGAATTAATCCCTGTTGACTTTTTTCTTTGATGCATAATTTACTTCATTTTTTCAACATGCGTTGATCATAGGAAGCTGTATATGCACAATGGCTATGAAGGCTGAAACTCAGAAAAGTGAATGTAAATGGGTTTGCCCTTTCAGCAGCCCTTCTTTTGCCGTAGCTGAACATCCAAATTTCGCAGGTGTTTCAGAAAGCCGCGGTTGGGTGAAATCCATCGATGTTCCTTCACTGTTTTGATGGCTTCAACCAATGGGAGGTGGTGATTTATCATGAGATATGCTAGGACTAGGGAAGCTGACCTGCTTACTCCAACTGCACAATGTACCAAAATTTTAGCTGGTTAAAAAAAAAAAAAAAAAATTATAACCATAGAAGAGAAGCAGTACAGTGGATGAAGTTTAATTTAAAGGGAAGGTAAACCCCTTCTGCCTTCTCCAGCTTGGTCAGAGTAACACTGCAAACATAATTTATTTCCTACCCTTCTGATAGATCACATTAACTGCTAACAATTAAGTCTAATTTGCAATTGCTACACTCACTTGTGTGAGAAGTGCCATGAGATCCCAACCTGATCTCAGAAACACAGGTAAATCACAGAAAACCCTGTAACAAAGGTTGTGCTGTAATGAGGGAAAGTAATGAAGTTGTTCTGTTGTAAGCAAGAAGAAAATCACACCATTGGTTTCAGAGGGGCTTACTTAGGTGAAGAAGAATGCTAAAATCTGGCCTGAAAGGATGCCACTAACACATTAGCCACAAGGAAAAATGACTGGCCTAGTACCATTGCATAATAAGGCAATTTGCTGCGACTGTAATTCTCTTTTGAAGGCAGCACTTGTGATACAGACTGAGACAGCTCCGTTAATGCCAGTTTACTCATGCTAAGAAATGGTCTTTTATGTAATACAGGTTAATTAGTATTTTACTGCACCAGTGCCAAGAAGCTCAGTCTCTTGGGCAACACACTATAAATCTCCATGGGTAAAGGTAAATCTTCTTCTTGGAGGCACAGCCCTGCAGGCCCTGTTCACACAAGCATCTTATCTGCACTATATGAGCCTCTTCATGTGGTTGGTGGCTGTAGAAAGCAGGACTTTTTTTTCTTTATTCATTTGTTATTACAAATACAGTTGCCCTAGGAGGGTCTCAAAAGAGGGTGTCCATTTTAAATGTATGTTTTTACTTCTTCATTTTTGAACCAGCCTTTCCTTCCAGGTATTTTTCTCTGTACTCTGCCTCCTCTCCTCTTGGTCCCAGTCCCTCTCCTGCACTGTTCATCCTTTTTCTCATGTCAACTTTTTGGGACCTAGTTAGATCTACACACACATACCCAGTGCTCCCTCCTCCCGCCACCCACCATGCAGGTGACCACCAGCTGGCAGGAGACCATGGATTGACTTGTCCACAACTGAGCTTGTGGAGCCAACCTCTTACAAGAGGCTGCCAACTTGCATAAAAATGTGACCAATGGTAATTTCATACCTCCTGGTGTGTTCAAGGCGCTGTGGATAAATTGTGCTGCAGAGAAAAAGAACTGGCTTATATCAAAGCTTGGGAGGTCGTGGGCTGGTACACCGTAGTAATCAATGGTCGCTCCATAAAAGTCATGGCCTCCGTGGCTGTATGCTGTGCCGTGGGCAGCATTTAAAACATGGGTCACACCCATCTTCCACAAAACAAATCTGTTGTGAGCTGTTACTCTAAGGAAAAGACAAAGCCAAACAAACTGAGATGGGTGCAAAGATATTCATAGAGCAGGAGAAACTCCACAATTGCATCTCCCGAGCCATTTACTGGAGCGTCAGCCCATGCATTTCTTCTAAAGGCTAACTGAGAAGCAAGTACCAGCTTAGTCATAATTTTATCTCGGAAACCACGCTGTCTGCAGTGTAAATGACATCAATTAGCAAAACTATGAGCTGTCTAAAACCGCACCTATGAGGCATACTAACAGACAGGACATATGGCAGAGGTATGTCCGTAAAGCTGTACTTACAGGTCTCCTAAGAAGAGATTAGGCCATACTTCATCAACGTGGTTGCACGAGGACCGCCCAGTGTTCAGGAGCTGCTCAATTTCTTTAAGGGAGGGGACATCCTCCACGCCTGCCCCAGCTCCTTCGGGCCCCGGGGTGCCCAGTGCCTCCGCCCCAGACATGCTGAGAGCCAGGGAGAGACCCCGCTCCCACCGGCCAGAGGCACGGCACTGTGTGCTGGGGTGCTGCCAGACCCCGGCGCCGTCACGGGGGGGGGCCGGGAGATGGGCTGGGGCAGGTGCCGGGCAGCAGCTCCTGCTGCAGAGCCACGCCACCCTCCACGCTGCGGCGTCCCCCGAAACCCTCCCCAGGGCTGGACATTTGCCTGTGCATTGCAGACAGACACAGACAGTTGAAACAGATGCATGTATCAAACCAGGCCCTACTGGTTCCTTACTGGTTCCAGTCAGCTCCCCAGGGCTCGTCCCCAGAGCCACAGTGCTCTGCCACACAGCAGCCCTGGTGCCAGGGACGTCAGCTGCATCTGGCAGCAGTCCCCTGCCCGCAGGATGCCCACCAGGACACAGCCGTGACTGCCCTCAGCAGTGTCCTCGATGCGGCAGTCAGCGAGATCTGGCCATTCATCACAAGCACTTACGGGCCCGGTAAGGGAAAAATAGAAACCTGTCCACTGCAAGAGGAATAGCAACTATCTCCCAGTAAAACTGCCTCCTGCTTACTTTGAGGTGCTTAAAAACATAGCTGCAAAAGGGTCAGAAATGCACCGGGGGGTCCTACTGACATGGTTACCAGGAGGTTAAACACCAAGTGGATGACGGATGATGTCTTGCCCATGATCTAGAGAAATGTATTTCTTGAAGCTACTGTTTTTGCACCAAGTAAAATTATTTGAGCCTCACTGGACATTATACATTTAATCTTTTCTATTGCAGTCACTGCTTTCACCAATGTGTTAATACAATACACCTGCCACATATTGTATGATGCCTCCCACTGTTGAAAAGAGAACAAAGAAGTGAGTATAATGGTTGTCAGGTGAAACTTGTAAACCACTGAGTGAGTTTATATAGGAAGGTCTGGTGAACCACAGGTTGGAGGTCTGTTGTGTCAAACTGTAGCATTAGTGGGTCCTTTGAAGTACAGCAGTGCCTGTGTTCCTGGTCTGCAGGATACATGACTCCTGGTAGGGGGCTGCAAAGCTGTCAGTGATGGAGCTACAGGGCAAAACACGTAGAATGCTGATGCTCTTTGTAAGCCTGGCAGCTGACATGCAAAGCACAGATCCTCTACCAAGGGAGTCCCGAAGAGAAGGTGACCCAAGGGGAGAAGCTTGCTGCTGATATTATACCCTGTAGAAAAAGGATGATGAATGATGAGAACCCTTGGTCAGGTCTGAACCACCACATGCGCTGATTTACTATGATGGAGGGAGGTTAATGCTTTATTTTATTTTATCAAGAAATATATTGTGGAGAGCTGTTTGAAACTAGGTATTAAAGTCTGGACTAATTAACTATGCTTAGGAGTACCGAGGGTGAGAAATTGCCCTAATACAAGGCAATAGTTTCCAGCACTAGAGGGCAAAAGTTATATGCAAGAAAAAAAAAGTGACTGTTTAGAGTCTTTCATGAAGCAGAAATTGTTAAAATTCTGTGGATTTAGAGAAGAACCTGTTTAAAAACAGTATGTATACAAAGAGACTGTTAGTTCCAATTGCCATGTATGTTCTGGCCTAAAAGGTGACATAAGAGAAACTGCAAGCAACAGTGCTGCAGTGCTGATTTAGAGGGGGCAGTGGCACCTGCAGCCTGGCTCTGCTCTGGCAGCCAGGGGGCCAGATCCAGCAGAGGAGAGAACTACAAAAATGATTAGTTATACTTCAAGCACTATGTATATGTCCTTCATATGTCACCTTGGTTTTCTGTTTTGTTCTTTTTTTTCCCTTTGGTAAACTAGTGCTTTTTAAGCGGATTGATTTGTGCTCATCAATGAGGAGAACTAACTGACTGAGCAGGTGAACTTGTTTAATTTAGTTTATTTTTCTCAGGTTTCTGGGTGGAGGCTCAAGCTGAGGCTTTACTAGCAGGGTTTTTTAAATGTAAGCCCAGCCCTTTTGTTGCCAATCAAGTTCTGTCAGAAATGTGACAGTCATGTTTAATTCTGGCCCTTCTCAGCTGTAAAACCTTTATTGGCTTCTACCTCAAATGTACTGACTAAGAATTCAGAGTTCACCTGCAGCATGAAAGCTTTTGAGCAGAAAACATGAATGATCTCCAAGCCCTGTGTGCCTCCAACATTTGTATAGCATACGTCCATTTGCTTCAAAATTCTGTCCTTCCACACCTAGCATCTTCTAAACATTTAATAGTCTGTAAAGATGACTTTGGTAAAGCCGCATTACTGACTGTTTTTTACCAGGAGCTGTCTTTGAAATAGACAGGAGGCAGAAATGTTGCTTTCAGACCAGCTCCGTTCTGCATTAACCCACAGGACATAACATCACTAGAGAGAACAAGCCCATCTCTTCCTGCTCCGTGTTCTCCCTGGCCTGTCATTCTGCCCATGGCACTGGGCTCAGATGTCTCAGGATATACCTCTCCTTTTATGTGTTCACACAGGATTTAGCCATCAGGTCTGTGGGCCAGTCCAGGACAGTCAAGCTCTCCTCTACTGAGATACACCTTGACATGGAACTCCCGGGAAGCTGGAGGTCCTTCTCAGCATAAGTGCTAGCTCCCCTAAGTGAAGCTGGAGGCTTTGTTCTATCATGTCCTTGCTCCTGCAGCACCTTATTTTGTCCTTGTCCTTCCTTCCCTTCAGGGAAAGGCCACGATTCTCTGACTTTGTGAAGAGTTGTTGTATTTTAGTTTGTATTAAAGTAGCCTGAACACAAATGCTAAAAAACTATGGAAAGTGTGAACTTAGCTTTGTCCTCAAATTTGGCAGGACGTTCCTTCCAGGTGTAACCTTTTGTCCAGATGAGTTTGGCTCTCCACAGCTTTGCTTCTTTCCTGGCCCTTTTAAAGCTACTAAGGATGGATGTAAAATGCAACAAACTGATATACGGTCCTACTGAACAGAGGCAAAATCAGCTTTATGTGCAGCAAGGACTTTTTGAGATTCCAAGAAATTTGGACGTTCTCCTGCCTGTGGGATGGTGAGCAGCTCTAAGCCAAACACCTATGTGCAATTATAGATGATCTTAAAATAGCTGCTGCTTCAGTTGAAATTAATGCGTGACTTACTTGTATCAGAACACCCAACAGAAAACATCCTTTTAATCAGTGGACTATGCCTTTGTGATTACTTTGTAGGTAGTACCTGGTACAATAATCTAAATCAAACATTCCCTGGCTAATAACATATTAGCTGGCAGCAGGGTAAACTGCCATGGAGTGCTCCAGCAGCACGCAACGTGGCATTACCAGGAAAATGTGCAGCGGTCAAAAACAGGGCATTCATGGAGGCTCTTCTATTGAAAATGCTGCTATGGGTACTAACTGGTGCTGTGTTTGTGACACTCTTCCATCTCTCTAGTGAAAACTGGGCCAAAATCAAACTCCTTTCACATATCCTGAAAGAAGAAAGTTTTCACAGTGAAAATGTTACATCAGGGAAGTTCAGCTTGCTAGGATTTATAGATACAGTTCTTTTTAACTGCAAAAGATCTACTTGTTTCACTCATCAGCCTGGCTTTGGGGTTTGATCTTTGGGATGGTTAACTACTGAAGAAGAATTGAACTAACTGAACTCTGGTGCACTTAGGTCAATGCTAAGTGAGACAGATTTTGTGTTCTACATTAATGGATTTTTAACATATGGGACAATTTTGTCTGATTAGCACATGGAGTTTAGTCTTTTCTTTTTTTCCTTTATTTTTCCCCTCTAATAAACTCATTTTCTACCTTGAAAAAAATAATTGTTTCACTAGTTTGATTAGTTCTTTGGCATTCAGTCCTTTTTTTCTTCCATTATGGGAGTTAAAAATTTGAAGATAAAATAGATGCTTGAAAGTTCACACAGGACCAATCTAAGTAAGCTTCAACTGAAATACAGAGATTACAAAGAAATTATAAGGCAGGACTTGATCTGTACAAAAATGAGATTACCAAAAAACCCCACCCCAAAATCCAGAAAAAGAAAAAAGTGTGATTTAGATCAATTAGCCCTTCTAGTGAAAGATCCCCCCCTTGTCATGTTGTATTCTTTGCTGGAAGAGAATTTTCATATGCAATTCACTCTCTGTTCAGCTGGAGCCTTTTTCTCCTGTGTACTGTCTTGAGATTTATTTGAGATAGATTGATTATTTAGAATTATTAAATGCTAACAGTATTACTTAATGACAGTGTTTAAAAAAATATTAGATTAACACATCTCATTTTCCTTTGCTATAGGATATATTGTAACTAGAGCTAGTTGGGAAATTTCAATATAAATTTCCTTTCTTTTTTTTTTTATTTAGTGTCAACATGAACATTGAATCAATACAACTATGTGAATTGAATAAACTGTTTTCAATCTAAAGATGCACCCAGTGTAATTACGCATTTTAGACTTTTTTTTCTTGGCAACCTGCAGTAGTTTTAAAAATATCTGTAACATATAATTTGTCATAACTTCTCAGACTGACATGTCAGCATTGGCACTGCCTGTCAAACTTACATCAAAGCACTCATGTCACATGGCACAAAGTGACATAACTCAAAGTGACGGAATGAGGTTTATTGGAAATTTCTGTTAAATAAAGCCCAAACTATTTAGATAATTCACCTTTTTAAAGAACATCAAATGTTAGTAAGGAGAAGTAGTTTTCAGCTTGGAAGTGCAGTGGCTAGGCAGCTATTACAGATCACTTAAGAGTTACAAGTTTTAAATTGTGCTCTTTGCCACTCTTCTGTGCAAGCTAATTCGATCATTTTCAAAATATCTGTTAGGTGATGAAACTAGGCAGAGCAGAAAAATGTCATCAGCAGTGATAACTTCAGAGAGAAACCAACCAGTCGAGGCTTCCTCCAGGGCTGAGGTTGACCCATCACTGCTGCAAACCAGCCCAGCAGTCCCCACAGTTAGGCACAGGACTACCTCCAGTGACGCATGGCCAGGCTCTGTCTTCTCCACTTCTACTGCGGATGCGACTCCTGGCCAGGGGTTCACTGCACGGAAATCTATTGCTGATATAACATACCTTAGGGCCTGTAAACTTCAGACAGTCCTGGATTCACATGTAGATATAATTACAGCTCATTTTCCAGCCTGGAATTCTGAAGTCTGGAGACTGAATTTGGGAAGACATTTGTAGGGAAACATGATAAGGAAACTTCTGCTTTCGTTTTTGCTTCCTTCCTGCAGTCTGGTGAGCTGGTGGACTCCAGTGCATATTTACATTAAAAAACCACACAACAAAGCCACAGCACTCTGAACAGAGCAGCACTTCCCCGGCACCTCCCATGAAAAGGCTAAGAATGAGATCCTGAAAGGTGCATTAGCTTAAGAAGCTGCACTTACTTTTGCAGCAATTTTTAATTTCAGTTTTTACCTATTTTTACATTTTTAGCTTAAGCCAGTTTTTCAGCTACAAGCAAATGCGGCAATGTATTGTAAATTGTACCTACCTCAACTTTCAACCAACTTTATTAACAGGTCCGTTATTAACAGGAAGACAATGTCCATTAGATAATTTTGGTGGGGTTTTTTTTTTTTTCAGATTCGTATGTATGTGTTCTGTGGCCTGTTACTGACAAATTCAGACTTGTCAGTTTTTCATCTAGTGCATGTAAAGGTAAAGAAGGGGAACATTGCGAGGACTGCAATTGCACTTAATTCCTACACTGTGTGCGGAGGCTGCTAAACTGGCAAAGAAAGTGGAACATTTCCTCCAATTCCAGCAACTCATTTGGGAAACTACATATCATTTGGTGTAAAAAATAAAAGCAGGATGGAAAAGACTGCTTAGAGATAAGCATCTTTGAACCAGTTTCAGGGCATGCGGCAATAAGCAGAAGTTCTTACAGCTTGTTTCTGTTCTTGAATATGCAGTAATTGATCTATTTAAAATGTATATAGGCCTTTACAACTGAGATTGTACAATCATGGACATTTGCATTGGATTGCTTGATGACTTGATGTAGCTTTGAAGCATTCTGAAATGCAAAATTTCCTTGTTTCACTGCTGCTGCACATGCGTAAAGATTGCAAAAGATCCTTTTTTCTTCTCTGTGAAGAAAGACTACAAGGCCAAGTTCTCTGAAAAGGCTACTGTCATTAACTTAATGGAGCTACACTGGCACCTGCTTTTTACTTCAACTGAAGCTACAACTTAGACCTGTCTTGGACTTCACAGTAATTACATCATCAACAAAGCAAATTCTGAATGTTCTTCAGACTGCATTATGCTGCTATAAAGGCTGGCTGCTACCACGGTCAGCTGATGCACAAAATAAATTTATTTCTGGAGTCATTTGTTTCTAATTCATCTGCCTCCTTCTATCCCCTCCGTTCGTATTTATAGGTTATGGAGCATCTGAAATTATGGTTACTTTCATAAGTCATCTGTGCTGTTCACATCTGTGCTTTGGATCACCTTGGATAGACGACTGACTGAGTGCTGTCAGCCAACTGCCAGTTTTCAGATTTATTTTTTTCTACAGACATCAAAAAAGAGTAACGGTGCAAAATATGGTGCATCTGAAGAGAAATGTTCTGTAATGATTGCTTGATATGAAAATTGACAATATGAGAGTCCTGCAATTTTTCTTTGCTGTTTTCTCCTGACATATGCTTTTAAATGAAGGATGGGGATATTTTCATGACACCGCTAGCAGGTTTTTAAATGATGGCAGGATGACTCTATACATCTATTCATTTCTTAGAAAAAAATCAATGAAAATTCTATTTACTGTGGTCTGAAACTTCCACCTCTTTCTCACATCCAGGCTGTACTAAGGTACTTCCCAATGACAGATAAAAAGATCACCCTGGAAAAAAATATTCTACAGTATTTTCCAGGAGTAGAGTTTTATACCCTTATCCTGGTTTAAGCATATTCTGTTCTTCTTCAGTTAGAAAAGCAAGACACCCTCACACCTCCTGTCAGCTGATCTCGGTTGGGATTATGGTAGATTTAGTCATTTCTTGTCTTAGGACCTCTGAAAACCATGCCACGAACCGCCCGGGATTTTGAGTTTCTTGCAGAGCTCACAGGAGCTGTCCGACTGGGCTCCCATGCACTCAAGGCTTTCATTCCCACGAGTCCAGGGCCAAGGCAGGCCAACGAGGCATTCGCGTGGTGCGGCCGGGACCCAGCGGGGAGGTTAATGACGGGGCACCGGGGCGGAGAGCGGCCCGCGAGCCCAC